GTACACACTACTTAGTTTTGAATTAAAGGTCACATGTTGGCACTGTTACATTCACAGTATTGTGCTGTACAGTGAATTGTACAATACAGTAGTTTTAAAACAAACTTTAAGATGTTTAATGAAGGGTAACAGTATTGAGTTTGCGCACACAATGCTGAACTTTTAGATTAAATGTGTTGCCTTATAAAGTCTAACATAGCAGGGATTGAACTAGACTAGTGCTAGACTATATTTTCGTCTCAACACAGAAACTCTGTTTAGAATCCTGTGTAGTCTATGGCTAGTCTTAATCTAGCTGGACCCTACAGCTCAGCTTCGCTCAGCTGTTTGTTAATTGAACACTGTAGATTTTGCAGTGTGGTCTTATTGGTGTTCCTTGTGGTACCTTCTGCCTTGCACAAGATTAAGATTATATTTAGTGGCATGGCACAAATGGTGGCATAAAAGAAAAAAAAATCCCTCTATGTGTGTGCTGGAGTGTTTACCAACAGCTCATGTGGTTAATAAGCGTCGACCAGACTGACCAAAGCGGAAGGTATTGTCTATTTCGAAACCTCTCTCTCAAAGCCCTCCACACACACACAGCAGTGTAAAGCCAAGTCACTGGAGTTTAACCTCCCCACGGTTCATTCCTGTGATTTTGGGGAAGGAAGCGTGTTGAAAATACTCTGGGAGTGTAATAGCCTTTTGGGTTTGCGTTACCAACAGTGTTGGTTGGTGCAGGACTGCAGTGAGTGAGTGTGTGTGCACTGGCCATTTTTGTGTGAACATGTGAGGCAGATGTGTTTAGGTAGTTTACAGTGGTGAACAGAAGTGAAGTACATATCCTCTGTTGCTGTACTTTTCTTGAGACTTTTACTTTCACTATTATGTTTCACAGCAACTTTCCTTCTTTTCACCCCACTACCTTCTGCAGTGCAGGGTAAAAAGTAGACCACAATATCTTCTTGAACATGATGCACTTTCACACATAAATCAATACAAGCATAGCATGGTTTTCACTGAATCACTCCCCTAAACACTGAATGTCCAGCCGCAGCTTAGCAACTGTAACTAAGCCTGTCGCTCTGACAAGCTCTCAGAAATAAAGACAAAGCTGTAGCGTAGTGAGCCGCATTTATACATCAGAAATATAGTTCGGGGAGTGAAAATGTACTGTTCTAAAATGAAGACACCAAAGGAGAAATGCTGGATTGTTAGAATATCATAGAATATCCCATCTGAGCACGTTTCATACTTTTTACTTTGACTCAAGTAAAATATCAATTTACTCTGAGTAATATTTTACAAAAAGTATTGATACTTACACTGAATTACTGGAGTTGTGCACTTTGTCCATCACTGGTGAGGTGTGTGTGAGAGAGAGAGGGTGAGAGAGAGATAGAGAGAGAGAGTTATGCTGAAAATTTTGAGAGACTTAAGCAACATACCACTGGCCCCCTTCCCCCCACACACCCATGTAACTGTGCTGTTTTTTAGACTGTAATGTTTTTATTTTTCGTATGTTATACTAATATTCCTGTGAACAGCCCCTTGAATTGTTATCACTAAAAGGTAAAGTGCTATATAAACACAGATGTTGTTGTTATTATTATTATTATTATTATTATTATTATTATTATTATTAATTTAAAACGTTTTTGTATCGCTTGGCTTTTGGACATATACAGTAGACCCATTCTGTGTTGTCCTGTGCTATTATACTTTTTGTATGACTGTTTTTGTGTAAAGTACAGAGCCCTGCTGGTGACATCCTGTATAAATAAAAATAATATCGGCCACAACTTAGTAAGGCATGGGAGTGAGTTCTTAATGCGTGGCCATTAGTTAGTAAGCTGTTGGAACAAGATCTTAATGCATGGCCACGACTTAGTAAGGCATGATCTCATTCCCACACCTTACTAAGTCATGGCCACACATTAGGATCTCATTCCCCCCTGTTAATAAGGCATGAACATGCATTATGTTTATTTATATTGGATGTCCTCAGCAGGGCTTTGTAGTAAGATATGGGAACAAGATCCTAATGCATGGCCACAAATTAGTAAGGCATGATCTCATTCCTACGCCTTACTAAGTCATAGCCAGCATTAGGATCTCATTCCCACACCTTAATAAGGCGTGGCCACCCATTATTTTTATTTATATGTGATGTCACCAGCAGGGCCCTGTAGGAAAGCACTTGCAACAGCACCGTGCAAAACTCAGACAGCACACTTTACTATTTAATCTCCAGTCATTCAAGTCATTCATCTGGGGTGGTCTGTCCATCATTCTGACAACACCAGCAGCTTCTTTGTTTGATGTGTCTGTCTCTTTTTCTCAGTAAGAGCTTCTTGGCAGCTACACATCCTTTCAGACCCATAGTGCTGAGTCATCTTCTCACAGTGGAAGGATGGACAGAAACACCTGTGGATGTTTTCAGATCTGGAGCAGCTTGATTTTCTCCTCTCTCTCAGAGATGAAAGCTTTAAGTGCTGTTTATCTGATGGGGGCAGTTGTGGTGATTTATCAGGTCTGGAAGGTTGTTGTTAGGAGTCCCATCTTCTCTGTATCTCACGACAGTTTTGGAAACTGCTTTTTTTCAGCCTGTTACTTTGACTTTAAGCTTCCTTATGCAAGTGGATCTAATCTCAGAAATGTTTCCTGAGAAATGAATAGCTGGTACTCAGATTGACTGGAAATGAAATAAATGGAGGCTGGACTTTTCCACAGGGCTGCATGTTTAATCGTTTAGGCATCTGTGTGTGCAGAGTGAGGGGAGTGTGTGCGCGTCCGTGAGTATGTGCGTGTTTATGTGTCTGGCTGTGTACGTGCATGCGCACCGTGCGTGTTTGTGAGCGAGGTGTGAGTGTATGTGTGTGTGAGTGAGAGAGAGAGAGAAAGAGAGAGAGAGAGTGATGAATGTGTGTGTGAGCGAGGTATGTGTGTGTGTGACCCTTTTCCTCTCCTCGCGGAAACCTTGAGCTCTCGATAGGAGCAGATCTGCTTTGAGAGGCTGCGCGCGCTTCCTGCAGGCCCTTCCCAGGGTGCCGTGCGCGCCGCTGATTATTGTCTCCACATCCTCAATAGAGGCGCATTGAGGAAACACTCGGCTGCTGATAGCCGGGATCCGTTTTACTGATAACACTCATTTCCCCTCAGAGCAGCCACAGACCCAACAGCACACAAACACGCCAAATCCAGCACTCATATTTCACACTGATTAACAGGCCTCACTCATATGTCCACCTTCCCCTCTGCTGTAGTTCGCATCATCATCATCATCATCATCACCACCACCACCACCACCATCATCTGGGAGGGTACAGTTTCAGTCAGCATTCTGAGCTCACCGGTTTGCTGCCTCTGTTACATGCGCCCTAACTCGGCGCCTGACTCTGAGCCAGGGGAATTCCACCGCTTTTTCAAAATTTCATTCAGAGTGGTTTGATGTGAGTGTTCGCCAACTCAGCTTTCTTCACGATGTTTAGACAAAAGAAACTAGCCATTTTACTTAATATTATATTTTATTATTTATATTTTATATTTATGTTTTATATTTTATTACTGCCCAAAACTACTACACACGTCGTTTTTTTAAAATATTCCTATTTAGTATGTACCTGTAAGTGTGTAAGTAAGCAAGTATCTCCCTAACTAGAAGCGTTTTAAAGAGTTAAAGTAGGATTCTGTCGCTGAGATGTAAACAAGGTCATTCACGGTGGTTTGGTGTGAAATGGTTCACTGTGCACTGTTAGAAGTAAAGGTGCTATGCAGGTACATTTTTCGTTCATCAAGGTACAAACAGTGCAAATGTTCCCTCAAAGGTACAACATTGGTTTTAAAGTCCAATTGGGTACCTTAAATAAGTTTTTTTCCAGGTGAAAAGTCTGTATTTGTACCTTTTCATAACCGAATGTTTTAAAACAGAACAATAAAATAAAAGCCTGGAGACGAGACGGGGTGTGTGGAGTCAGTACAGCTTAGAAAATATTATTTCAATTGATTATGGTACAGTTATGTTCCCGTACCCTTGAGGGTCCAACCCCAGTGACAGTTTAGTGCCTTTATTTCTGAGAGTGTAGAGAAACTCATAGACTCAGATTTCTTTACAGTGGTGGTGATAGGAACCAGGGGTCACAATGTCTACAACACAAATATAGACATTTTATTAACAAAACCAACAGTGACCCTACACGAGGAGTTTTTTTATATGTATTATTGATAATAAAAAACAAAAAATACATTAAAAAATATATAAAATAACTGCTTTACCCCACAGCGCCTTGTGTGTACATCTCCGCCGTGATTTGATGAAAACATATATATAAATAGGCATTTTTTTTCTCAAAACTATCGTAAAACATTTCCTCAGGCATTAGTCGGTGTATTTAAAGCCGTATACGTCATATAACACTCTGCGAGGGGCTTTCAGAGGCATTAGACTCTTCGTCACCACCACCGTGAACAGGATCATTTCACAGCGAACCACTCTGATTGACTTTGTTTACATCTTAACCATTTAATTATGCAGAGAAATCGGCTGAATAAATAAATAATACAATCAATTAATTCGCCTTTCCGTTAGAGGTGCGACTGACAACTAAAAACACGTTTATCACGCACACTCTTGTGAGGAAGTTTGAGCACCCCTGGTCAAATTACGTCTCCAGTCATTAAAGTTATTCATTTTCCAGCGTCAGGAAAAAGAGCAGGAAACACACGTTTAACGGAAAATTACACAGAAGCCTCAACGACTAAATACAATACAAATTCTCTCTGTATAAAACCATATTTTATATTTATAATATTTTTCCACGCTTCCAAAAGTTCAGTCTTAGAAGTTGGTTTGGCATTTTCTGCTTCTCACGCTTGTGAAAAAGTTTGAGCACCCCTGGTCAAATTACATAATATGCTGATTCTCTAATTGGAGATAAATGACCACGTTTTTAAAATCAATTTTTAGTGCACAATTTCTAGCTTTTTTCCGAAATGAACACAAAACGTAGACCGTGCCCAAACGTTTGAACATACCCACGATTTTATGTTTTGTTTTCCTCGAATATGTTCAATTCAGCAAATAAATAGTAACTGCGTGGAATCAAACGTGCAAAAGCGCGTTTTCTGTAGAGCTTGTGCGGTAAAAATGGCTCGTCTGATCAACCTAAAATAATACTTAATGTGGTAACAATTAATTAACTAGTTTTATTCAACCTAAATAAATACTTGAAATGAACGAATCATTGAATCAATGTGATTTTTTGAGTTGAATAAAACTAGTTCAATTGCTTGTTACCTCATAAAGTAGTTTTTTAGGTGGATCTAACGAGCCATTTATTTTCAAATCAACAAAACGTGTAATTTGACGCAGGGGTGCCAAAACTTGTGCAAGACTACGGGGGGAAAATAACCAAACACTGAATAAAGTTGTATCCAGACGGTTGGATTATTAAATGCTACATCAACACGTTTTTCAGCTTACTTCTATTGGCAAGAATGTACTTGAATGACGTATTTAATTCACGCGAGCAGCGAACACATTCGAATCATGTCACTTGACCTCACGATCAGTGTGGTTGACCACAATGCATAAATTAGCTCAACTCTAATTGATTACTGATGAATACGCAGCGCACGAGTTGGTTGCGCGCTCGCTCGCTCCCTCATTTACATTTACTATATCACAGCTTATGCTTTCTTTCAGTTCGCTGTGTTTCAGAACTGATATTAAACACTTGAGCGCGATTAGTCCGTGTGTTTGTGTAGTTCTGGCTGATACATTATCTGGTGAGGCAGTGCGCAGTGCAGGTGTTCGGTATTTCCTATTTGAATTGTTTTTTGTATCATAAGTTCACAGCGTGCTGAGCTCAACATTGTGTTCTGCCTGGGCTGCTGAGGGGTAAATCGCAGTTTCCCCGTGCTGGAGGAGGAGGAGGAGGGTGGATGCAGGACGGATGTTGCAGCCATTGAGCCGATAAAGCAGCAGGAAACACATTGGCGGAAATTTTGCCCCAGTCCTGCTGGCCCTGCTCACAAACTGCCCCCTCACGCCCTCGGCTTGAGCCTGAAACATCTACTGAGGGTTTCCTCTAAAACATTTAGCCTTCAGCCCGCAGTCTAATACACGCTGTCAGCACGCTGAGCTGCCTGAGTGGATTATTTCTGTAACACTGAAACCACCAACAGCTCCTACATTTCCTTAGATTCTTATCGTTTCCTTAAATTCTCTGTATATATAAAAGATATTTATTACGCCATGTTTATAAAATTAGGTCTGAGCCTATTTGCCTGAAATGTCAAATTTGCCATCAGTATCAGTATAAAGGCAAATAGGGTGTGTATAATATATATTTATATATATATATAAATAAATAAACACACACACACACAAAGCCCTAAACGCACCCCAGCTGCCTTTAAATTTCTTTGTAATATGCATCTGAAATTTCTATATTATATACATGTAAGAGTATTAGTGGCGAGCCTCCACTCTTCTTCGAAGGCTTGGCGCTAGATATTTGAATACTGCTATGAAAATTTGGTTGCATTCAGCCACAAGAGCATTTAAAAGGTCAGGTACTCATGAAACATGATCATGTCTGGGTCATAAACTCCACCCCAACTCATCTCAAAGGTACTGGACGGAGCTCCGTCACTCCAGAGAGTGCAGTTCCACAGTGCCTGGGGGGCTTTATACCCCTCTAGCTGACGCTTGGCATTGAGCAAGGACCCATTGTGTTGGTCAATGCACTTCTATGGCGATTATACCAGCTGCGAGCGCGCAGTTTAGTGTGTGTACTGGGTGAACCTTAGTAAAAGTGTTCACTAATGATAAGGCTGTCTGGATACTTACGTGCGTGAGATGAAATGGCTCTTGTAAACGGGTTTGTAAATGTTTTTTTTTTTCTTTTCAGCGAAGCCCCTCCTGTGGAGTCCGTTCCTGCAGCGTCCTGTCCACAAGAGGAAAGGAGGGCAGGTGCGCTTCTCCAACGAGCAAACCATCGAGCTGGAGAAGAAGTTTGAAACGCAGAAGTACCTGAGCCCCCCTGAGAGGAAACGACTGGCCAAGATGCTACAGCTCAGCGAGAGACAGGTACACACACACACACACACACACACACACACACACACACACGCGTCACGCGGTTATTTTTTATAAATAAGAATGATGATTCACCTGATAATTTAATGGTAAAATCTTTACCATCAAAATAATTACTAATACAATTATTTTATCAATACAGAGGATAAAAATGATAAAGTGATCGATTAGAAACACTAATTTGACAAATACACTACATATTCAAAAAATCACATTATTATTATTATTATTATTATTATTATTATTATTATTATGGGCACATTTTAGCCACTTGAACCAGCGTTGTTGCTCAAAACAACTATTATTTGCCTATTTTATCGGATTATTGAATTGTATATGGGAGATGGGACGAGAGCTTCACATCAGTTTCACTGGTTTTCTATGAGACTGAATGGCTCTCATTCAGTTACCTGGAGGCGGCGGCGTCACTGTCTCACATGTTAAATCAGGCTATTTAAACTGAGCTGCCTCTTTACTCTTTACTGACTCTGCTTTGAATCATATGGTTCAAATATGTCAAATGAAGCTTTTACCAAAGCAGTAAACTTAAAGACAGGAATTGTGTCGTTGTAAAATATTTTATTGATGTGCACGCGCTTGGCATGCGTTAATTATGAACGATTTTCAGCGTATTATCTAAGATTTGTCTGCTTTCCAAGAGTCAGCGGAGCTGCGCTTTTACAACTACACTCTTCAAAAAGATGGTTCTCCAAGGGTTCTTTAGTAAAGGGAATGGTTTTATTTAGATCCATGAGTTTTCATGCTTGCATGGTTCTTAGCATGGTTAAATGGTTCTTCAGACTGATGGACAAAGTGTTGTATATGGTTCTATATAGAACCTTTTGGAAATGGTTCTATATAACACCAAAAAAAAAGCTTTTTCCGTTGTTAAAGCTTGACATCGTCACATTTAATGAACCCTTTTTGGTGAAATATAGAGCCATTTTCAAAAAGGTTCTATAGAAAAACATAGACAGCACATTCAGCATCGATCTGAGGACTATTTCACCACGCAAAGAACCATTTAAACATGAAATTGTACTATAGGTTCTAACTAAAGAGCCCTTAAAGAACTACATTTTTAGTGTATATAAACGCAAGTGTGCGGGAAATTTAACTGCGGCTGATAAAAATAATTTAAAAAATCTGAACTCTAAAATAATCCGAACGTAGTAAAATCCTGATTTGGAGCAGATTTGGTGTGTTTATGTTTTATCGTATGTATATTTTAAACACCTGCACTGTGAGCCGAATCGTTGCCCTCGCGCACTGCTGGCCGCTTTGTGGGCGCTTCGCTAAAACGCACGCGGGTAAAGGGTTAACAGAGGGAACGCGTGTGTAGAGGGCAGTTCTGAACCCCGAAGGTGCTTAATACTGTTTTTAAAACGTTTAGAAAACCATAACGTACTGATGTCACGCGCTTTGGATACATTCCTTTTTTTATCAAACTGTCTGTCGTATCTCGAGCTTGGTGTGGCTGCAGGGCGAGACACAATCGGTCAGTGCACCGCATATCAGTGATCTGATTGGTTAAGCTCGTTTGCGTCATTTGCGGCTCTGCCACTTTCGAGAACTTTCTTTTTTTGTTTTCCAGAATAATCATTGTTGAGGGAGCCGTTACAACCGTTACTCAGACCCGCGCTGTGTTATGATTAATCTCACATTTTTTACTGTAAAAAAAAAAAAACACCCTCTTTTTGACAAAGTGTGTCAAAAATTCTTCGTATTCAAAATTGTCGCATATAGATAAACCAACGGGGTTGTTTTATTTACAAACTGAAAATATATAGACATTAAATAATGAAACTGTGTTGTCTTTAAGTGACTGGTTTACCTAAAATGGATGAAAAATTATGAAAGAACATTTCAATCAATGCCCGCTGCCCTCTGTCACTGTTTGACCGCTGCTGTCTCATCTTTGCACAACACTGCACAGTAATTTTAACTACTACGTTTACTTATTAATGTCTGACCGTTTTATTTACACTGTGAGCCCGGATAAGTTGAATTTACTTAAAAAAAATGAAGAAACCGGTTGCCTTAAAAAAAATCAAGTAATGTGTAATTTTAAAACTTGAGTTATAATAACTATAATTTTGTGTTAGGCTAACTTAAATGTTTGTGCAACTCGTAAACTCGTAAAAAATATTTTAATTTATTTATTTATATTTAGAAATTGTTTTCTAAATATAAATGTCGTTTTGAAATTGCAATTTAACTACGTTTCATTAGGCAATTGGGTTTTTTTTTCTAATTAAGTGATACTGACCACTTTGACAAACACCGAAGAGTTAACCTTTGTTGTGAACATAGTCACCGACCGACACAAAACCCCACTCATCAGCTAAGGGAACGATAACCTCCACTCTTAGCCAACAACACAATGTCAGGCAACTGAGTTAAGCATATATAAAACACATCCGCCTGAGGAAAGGCAGTCTGGGTCTGACGGTGAGTAAAACAAATGGAAAGAAACACTCGGTATGCAAATAGATGGAGCCAGCAGCCAATGGGAAAGAAATGTATGTTTAATCTAACAAGATCGTGTTAACAAAACACACATGTAACTGCATTTTACAGCTTACTTAGTTTGACTCAGTTTCACACATTTGTTCAGCAACTTTAGTGAGAAAGAAACAATTATAACCAACAGAAATGTCGTCATTTTTTGAATGTAGGGTTTCAAAGTTGTCATAGCAACAGACTAAACTAAATAGCAATAAGTTAATTCAACTCAAAAATGCCATTTGAGTGTACAAAATCATCAAAAACGTTCCCTTAAGTTAAAATTGTTGAGTGATATGTGGGATATACTGAGTTTTATGGACAACAGACTTAATTTATTTAAGTTAAAACAAAATTACAGTGTACGTCTTACTGTTTTGTTAACGGAGGATTAGCAAAGTAAGAATTCCACTGTACAGTGACCGCCTGTTTTCTGTGCGTATGACAATAAAACTCTTCAATCTTGAAGCTTAAAAACTGTTTACGGTCATCCAAAGAAAATTCCGTTCCAATTAAGAAATAAACTGCACTGAAAAGTTTCAAATTTATTCCATCAACAGCTGAACTTCATGCGGCGGGAACACAGTCTGCGTGTCCTGACTCGACTCAGTTTGACTGAATAGAAATCTGTGGCATCAGTGAATCGAGTTCAGTGTTTCACATCAGTTAGAGTGAATCTCTTCCGTGGTTCTGTAATTATCGAGTAATTCCTCCAATGTCATACTCGGGATCTTCGCTTAGAGTCTTAACAGGAAATTCACTTTAAAAAAAGAGAAAAAAGAAAAAAGGTATTCTTTGCACATAAGCGTCAGTGATGAAATGATTCATACTGTATAATGAAGGCTGAACATTTAACGTTTCACGCAGACAGTGATGTGTTTATTTATGTGTTTGTTTGTTTTATTTTCCAGGTAAAGACGTGGTTCCAGAACCGCAGAGCAAAATGGAGGCGCCTCAAACAGGTGAGTCCGGATTACAGACCACAGATTAAACATGACAGCACAGGAGCTCTTATTAAGAATCTGCCTCAGCAGCTCAGAACATCAGGCTCACATTTATCAGCTGGTAAAGAAATGATTGATAAAGAAATTGCGCGTGAAAGAGGAATTTCTATTAAATTCTGGATTAATCTGTTGCTTTTAACACGTTAAGACAGTTTACAAGATTATAAGCATTTTGCTTGCAATGTTGGGGGCCTAATCGGAGGTGATAATAATAATAATAATAATAATAATAATAATAATAAAAAACATTACATAAATATCATTACACAATTAATTAAGAATCTATTTGGCGATATTATAATAATACTTATACTAATAATACTTACAATACTTAATGTTTGTATCATTCGATTTATTGGTGTTATAATTGGTTATAATTATCACCTTTTTTCTTATATATATATATATATATATATATATATATATATATATATATATATACACACACACACACACACACACACACACACACACACACACACACACATATATATATATGAACAGCATGAAACATATGTACAAAGATATTTTGTAGGAAATTTGTACAAATATTATTCCTAGTATTACTTTATTGTTGTTGTTGATGTGAACATCAGAAGATCTATAACTCATTTAAAAGGGTTATAAATCTGCTAATGTAACATGTAACAGTGAGCAACATGAAAAGCAGCCCACCAACAGCTGCTCTACAAAACTGCTCTAACAAATGCAAAGAGCATCTAGAATCTAATTTTTCTAATCTTTTGTCTACTAAGAATTCCTTTAATTCACCTGTGTGTTTTCCTCCGACCATGTGCAGGAGAACCCTCAGGTCAGTAAGCGGGATCTGGAGGACGGGATCTCCACAGAGAGGAGCAGTGAACTGTCTCATGCAGAAATCCACTCAGACTCTTCTCACGAGTCCGACCAAGAGCTGGACGTGGAGGACCACTCTGAACTCTCACCGGACCCTCACTTATCACTCTGAACTCTCTGACACTGCATACAACACTGTAAATACTGTATAATTGTATATTTGTCTTCACGTGTAGAAGATCGAGTTGCTCTGTCTTTTTAAAATAAGTTAATGAACGTCTACATTTTTGATTGAAGCCGCAGAGAATGTAGCCCAAACACAACGGACATTTGATTCTGTTGATTACCGTGTATCTTTGTGTAACTTCATGGCCGCAATGCGTGAAGTCATTACGGTCTTAAAGATGGAATGTAAATATTTTGTGTAGGTCAATAAACAGTATCTTGCATTAGTAGAATCTATTGATCTATTTATCTATCTATTCATTTTCATTCTTATTTGTTTGTTTGTTTAAATGTTTGTTTGCATAAACTCTAAATTACACTAAAATATGTAAACCCAAATGGGTTTATGGACACTGTAGACCGCAATTTTACTATTTTATCCGATTTGAGCTTTAAGGGAAGAACAAACAAGGGGAATTCTACCAATTTTTTTCAAAGGTTCTGCATATTTCAATGGCTGAAATGTAAACAAAACAAAAGCATTCAGAGTGGTTTGATGTGAAATGGTTTATTGTAGAGAAACTTACATTTTTCCAATAAAACATCTACTATCCAAAACCACCAGTGAACCTACATGTCTTCTGAGTTCTGATATATAATGTGAGACAAAAATATACCCTACATGTACCTCTCCTCCTTGACGTGTTCCATGTTTTGCACCTCAACCTAACAGCAAAATAATAATCAATGCCTCAGGTTTTAATAATCTCATAACTATTCAATGTAATAGCTTTTCATGAGAGATGCTTTGGACCCATCACCACCATTGTAATCATTTCTGACTATGAATTTTCTCTTGAATGGTGCATTTCACCTCAAACCACTCGGAATGACTTTGTTTACGCTTTAAGGGCTTAATTATGCTGACATTTTGATAAATCAGTGGAATTTCCCTTCATGGCTTTCTGAAAGAAGGCTTGTTCCTTTAAAGGGGACAGCCAATTTTTTAAAAAAAGATCTTCATAAATAAATTAAGATGCCATTCAGATTGGTTTAATGTGAACTGTCAGAATAGCTCACAGTGGTGGTGATAGGAACCAGATGTCCGAGGAGTTTAACGCCTCAAAATCCCAGGCTTATTACATTCTAAGGTTTATTACTGAGTAACTACAGGGACTTGAATGCAAACTGACTGAGCTATTCTTAGGTTATAGATGTGTAATAAAACTTTAGGCCCTGGCCATTCACTAGTGTTTTTTATAGTACATAAAATGGCTATATTTTGGTTGTAGACATTGTGACTCTTGGTTCCTATCACCACCACTGTAAGGAAATCTGTGGAGTAAGTAAGTTTTTCTACAATGAACCATTTTACCTCAAATCACTCTGAATGATTGTACATTTCAACAATTGAATTATGTAGAATTTGGCAAAATTCTCCTTTTAAGCCACTGACGGAGGCCGTGGCAAACCTTTCATGAGATCTTGTCATTCCTTCCGTTGGTGATAAGGCCAGCATATCAGCTCAATTACGCCAGTATGTGAGTACAAATTCACACCAGTGTCACCTTCATTGCTCCTAACAGATCAAACAATCCATCTGATACTGTCATCATGGACAGATTGCCTGTTAGGCATTAAAATCAATCAGTGATTCATCAATGAAAGAATTCCCCCCTTCCTGCTGCTCTGAGGGTGGAGGTTTACTCCGTAGATCAATTCATATTCAGCCTTGTTCTGTGCTGGTTAACAGGGAGACTATTTCCTGTTGAATCAGCACATCCACCGCCTGTCCAGCACAGGTATCGGCAGCTTCAACTTCAAATGGGTTATCATTTGGAGGAAGGCAAACAGCAGGAGTTAAGTTTTTTTTTTGTCTGTGTTAATGATTGGAGAAACGGAGAGGATACTATGTGATAAACGGTTGAGCTCTGTGGCCCCTCGATGCTCACTCTCTGGGTTCAACAGCCTCAGAGCGCTGTCTGAGCAGGGCCAAAACCAACAGACGATGCATCGATTTAACCCTGAATTGAGTAATGCTTCACAAATCCTGTAACTGAAAAGCCAACACTGAAAACAGGACAGTCAAAGTGGTCAATGGAGAAACATTCTTTGGTGCGATTTGGGTTCCAAAGTGCTGAGAAGGTACTATAAGTGCACATAGCACACCTGCATCTTTGTAAGCCCTTTTAAGCAGCTCCACGACAAGGTCTAACCTGGTATCTATGGGCCAAAGTGCCTTATCCTATTTATGCTATTTATGATCCCACTCTGTTTTGCTTCCATGCCCCTGTTTGGACAAGTAATCATTTTATGGCTCTGAGTGAATTGGCGATTCAAGCAGAAAATCCTGAGCTCATTTAGAGTAGCAGCTGAATGCTTTAAAAATGCTCTATCTCCATTTGAATGAGGCCTAATTGAAAAGCAAATAGCACAGTCGACTGGGCAATAGGCCGCTGAGTGATATTTTCCTAGGCTGCCGGAGGAATCCGGGCTTGAGGAGCCTTCAACATGTCACCGGACGGGGATGAATTGATGCTTTAGATATTAAAACCCCCAAAGCCCGGCCGGTAACGGAGGGATAAGTGGTCTCTTTGACGACAACTGGACAAATATTGACCTGATAATCAGAGAACAGGGAGCTCTAAAGGCCTGACGACTCGAGAGAGAGTGGGGCTGTAATTGTTTAATTGACAGAAAGTTTGTGCTCCGTCAGATCAATTAGCAATGTTTTTCCTCTCCAGGATTTGTTAGTCATCCTTAAAACGATGCTTTCTATCGGAGAGATTGTGTTTATGTGTGACTGTGTGCTTGCATACGTGTCTGAGTGTCCCTCCCTCGCTCTCTCTAAAACTCCAATCACTCTTCTCCGTGATGTCTGAGAGCGGCTCTGTGGCTCTAATGGATTGTTTGTTCCTTTTTTTGCAGGGCAGTGATTAAAGCTCTGGAATAAAGCTGCCCAATAGTTTAACGTGCTCATGTGAATGGGCTCTGATAGCAAGCCAACTGATCCTATCTGGCCCCCAAGGCCAGCAGATAGACAGGATCGGTCTATCTCTTAACTGGAGGATGTTAGTGATATGCTCTAACAATGCTTCCATTAAAGATTATGGACGAGTGATTGAGTCTCTTTTTAAATCCATTAAGGATATCTCTCATGGGCTAAAGACACAACAGTTCAGGCTAATTAGGTGGAAACCTTGTCTTGCTCTGTGTAAAAGGGTGGGTACAATATTGCATGGAACCATCAGCTGATCAAAAACCATTAAGCAATGGTAAATAAAGGGGATTGACCAGCTGTTTTGTGAAACAGGATCAGCCTCTGCTGTTAAGCTTCTCTCCGTGTCTGATTGATTTCCATACAATATGACAAGCAAAGTGCCTTACAAAATCTCCTAAATGAATCCCATACTCTGCTGTATTGTACTATTTGAAATGTTACAATTCTTCTACAGTTCTTTGGGTATTTTACTATAAGTTATATAACTATAATGAGGGTGAACCCTGACTTTTAGAGGCAGGCCCTTCAGTTCAGGCCATAAATTTCAAAACTCTGTCAAACATGAGAAGAAAACACCTCTACAATGATGCTAATCTCTGTTAGCCTCCCTATGGGATCCTATCAGCGTACTAGCATAAAGCCAACAGATATTTACATGAACCTTGAATCTTATTACCGACATATTAACATGGATTTTGCCTTATACCCGTTTTATAACCTTGACTCTTAGAGGCAGGCCTTCATTTCAGGCCATAAATATCAAAACTCTGTCAAACATGAGAAGAAAACACCTCTACAATGATGCTAATCTCTGTTGGCCTCCCTATGGGATCCTATCAGCGTACTAGCATGAAGCCAACAGATATTTACATGAACCTTGAATCTTATTACCGACATATTAACATGGATTTTGCCTCATACCCGTTTTATAACCCTGACTCTTAGAGGCAGACCTTCAGTTCAGGCCATAAATATCAAAACTCTGTCAAAAATGAGAAGAAAACACCTCTGCAATAATGCTAATTTCTGCTAGCCTCCCTATGGAATTCTATGAGTATGCTAGCATGAAGCCAACAGCAATTCACATGAACATTGAATCTTGTTACAGATGTATTAACATGTATTTTACCTTTAGCAGTATAGTTTTATAGTGACTCTTTCAGTACAGAGATCCACTGCTGTTTTCCATCTCCAAAAGCTGACCGAAACTCACTGGTCAAGCTACCACTGGCATTCACAGTCTATGACGTATCCTTCAATAGTCCCACTCATTGTAAATAAAAACATGATTGGTTTATTCCACTGTCACTTCCCAAGTATGTTAGTGGTTAATCTGACTAGGCCTTCAGGTCAGCTCCTGAAGGCCTAACCAATAGGTGCACTCATTTGGCTGTTACTCCTGATTGGATAACTTTCTGTTGGGCGTTTAACCCCTTCGTTTCCAACCCAAGTTTAATAATGAAATAAAAGTATTACTACACTACTCACAGAGTTTAATAACAACAAGCATGATCAAAACTGAACTAAAAGGTACAGACATTTTGACTTCAGAGAATTTATTAGGCCTTCTCTGAATGCCTATAAGGTCCTGAGGGTTCCCCTCTGCTAATGTCTGTTCAAACACATTTTTCTTCATGGCTACTTCAGTGCTGCTATCTATGTGTCTGGATGTGGATGTTCTGAGTGAATTAAGGAGTGGTCAGGGACACAAGGACAGTTAAGTGGCCATGGGGATGCAGACAGTTAATATATCATTTAAAGAGTAGTGCAGCTAATGGAGATGATGGCATTTATCAGCCTAGTGGGACAGTTTGTAAGGCTTCCACTAACTTTATCTATGGAACACATATATTTAACTTTTACACAAAAGCCTTCAACACTTCAACAAATATATATACACACATATACACACACACACACACACACTAATATATATATATATATAATCACTATTTACCTTTACACACACAGATACCTAAACACATCTCAGCTGCCATCAGATTTCTTTCTAATATCCATCTAAAATTTCTAAAGGAGATATTTCTTATTTATGAACAGAATATATATAACATACAGTTTACATCTTGCATAAGATAAGATAATGTTGACAGATAAGTAGTTTCCAAAACTGAAGTTCATAAAATGATTTAAAGACAGAGAAAATGGAAGTCCTAAGAGCAATGCAAAACCTGGAAGACCACCAAAACTGTCTCCATCAGATAAACAGAACTTTCAGAACAGGCTTTCATCTTTGAGAGAGAGGAGAAAATCAAGCTGCTTCAGATCTGA